ACTTCTCTCTTTAACATTCTTATGGGAGATGTAAGAGTGAGATGACTAAGAACATGTAAGATACTCTCATACACAGCTGGTTAGTGTAACTGCTACACTTTTTCAGAGGAGCAATTAGAAAGAGCCTTAAAGATGTCTGTATGTTTTATCTACTAATTTTACTTCTAAAATCTGTGCTTTAACAATGTGATATAGGTAGGGTATTTGTTGTAATTTGATTATGTAATAGTGAAATTAATTGTATTATAGCTATGATAGAACAGTATGGAATGACTGAAATTATGTTTTAAAATAAGTATTTCATAGCACAGAAACTGATTATAACATGATTTGGGGTGACAGCAGGAAATAAACTTCAGAGATTCAAGTTTTATGAAAATGTTATATACACATAAATAAGTATGGATACTGGAAAAGTTATGCTTTTTATTTTCTGTATTTTATACAATGACTATTAGGCTACATTTTAAATATGTTTAAAGAGTAGTAAGAGAGCAGATGAAGTTTTTATCCTTGACTCTCTGTAGGTAGCCATTTCCTTAGAGGATCTTGATTTGACTTGTTGGCTTCTGGGTTAGTCATCTTATTTCAACTCCCTCTTCTCCTAAGGTTTTGAAACATTACTATTACCATAAGGGAAGAAAATGGCAGAGAGAACTTAAGGAACAAAATGTGTATTAGATACTCACTCTAAATATCTTGCTCAGGTCCTTTCCACATATGCACCAAAACTTGCATTGCAAATAAGATAACTTCCCTTTAGCAAATAGTAATGACATACAAGGAGCTTATTAATGACTTCTTATGTCTTTACTAATACATTCAAGTGTGCAGTACACTTGTTGAAGCTAAAAATTAAAGTGTTTAGAAATGGAAACAAATTTCTAACAAAATCTTGGCTGCCCAGTGGCACATATGGGGAATTGGTTGTTTTCTAATATGGAAACATAGATTTGATTAATTGGACCTTAAATGATTTTTAGAAATCTTGTAGTTCACAGAGGACTAGAAAATACCAGAAGGAATACATTTTATTCCTGTTTGATCTTCACTCAGAAGCATGACTTTGTAGCTGGAGCTCAAGAGGTTTTGCTAGTAATTTGTTGAGAAGACCTCAGCAAATCACATAACCTTTATGAAATACATTTTTCTTATGGTTTGTAAATGGGACATTGGGCTAGGAATAGTGATTTTTCAATCTGTGCCCAATTGGAAGCTCTAGGAAAGCAGGCACTGGGAGAGATTTTGCTCATGGATCTGGAGGACCTGCATAGTACTGGGCACATAACCCATGACCAATAACTCTGGCTAAGTGATTGACTGAATGTGTCCTATGGAGCACTGCCTGGAAGTCTGACACTCCATCAGAGCTTCTCTCGGCATAATTCTTCTTGTAGCTGTTTTATATGTTGGCATAAAGTAAGGTTTCACTGACAAATTAGAGAGTTATTTTATGGCTTAAAAATAAAATTTTGAAATCCCTGGTAATCGTTCTATTATTTAAAAACAACAATAAATCATACTTGTACTCTCATTTTCGTCTTCTATGCAGTCATAAATTCTATGAAAGAGCAGTGTGTAGCAAGTGTATATATATCAGAGAGAAAGGGGGAAGGGGGTTTGCTTTGACAGATGAGTCAGAGATGACTAGAGGAAAAGATGATGGGATTTTCCAGTCAAGAGGCATGAATGTGAGAGGAGTTGCAAGAGAGCATGACAAGGTCAGAGTAATAAGAAATGGGTAACTAGGATGTGGCCCTGGGGGAAGATACTAAGGCCAGAGGAGGCTCCCATCATGAACAACCATGTATGTGTGGTTACAACTTTGACTTTACTTGATGGGGATGCAGGCCATCAGAAAAAAGAAGATATAACGTGATCATAATTGTTTTATGAAGACTTCTCTAGACACAGTGTTGAGATTAGATCTTTGAAGCTTGAGGCATGTTGGGTATAATACCACTTGACCTTGGGTTTAATGGAGATCATAAATAAAATAAATATTTAAATTTGTCATACCATGGCATTCTTTTTTTTCCCTAGGATTGATTTGCAGAGTCTTGAAAAGTGATTCCTCATATAGTTCTATAGCTTTTCTAAAAGGAAAATGGAGTCCTTATCATAATTAAGGATCTACTTAAACTTATTAATATCTTGACATGAAGAAAGTAGAAATAATAAACACTGGGGACAAATAAAAGTCCCTTTTAACCTAAGTATTTTCTAATGCAATGTAATTTTATTTGTTGGTAACTGAGATACCCACTAGGGACCCTACCCAGAAGAAATTGGGTATGACATTCAAGGCAGAGTATATTGAAATTGGGACCAATGGTATAAGTGTGGGAGTTATCTTGGATGGCAATTTTATTCTGTCACTTAAAACTAAATTTTGTTTGGCCTAGGAAAGTTAGTGCCTTCATTTCCAGGGTATAAAACACTATACTTGTATTCTAATGATAAGTATACATATCAAGCACACCATGTCAGGCACATGGTCTATCTAAAGATAGGAAAGGAGCTTGCCACTGGGTCTGATTGGTTGATCTACTTTGACACTTTGAACTTATCGCTATGGCCTCTGGACATAAGTATGAACCAAGAATGATAAATGATCTAGTACCATAAGTAGAGTGAAACAAAAAGGAAAAGATGCACTTAAAATACAATAAAAATAAACAGAAAATGTTAGTATTGAAATATTTCACTTGAATATGAGTCCTGCAAGAAATAATTTAAGGAATAGAAAATGACTTACCAAAATGAATCTAAAACAACAGAAGTCCTATATGGTAAATAGGTAGAAACAAAACAGTTCATTTTCCCATGAAGCCATTCAGTGTAATAGTTATGTATGTGTATATGTATTATTATTTTAATTTTTTGCTTTTCTAGAGCTAATTTCATTTTCAACTTGAGAATATTAATATTAATTAGTGTTTAATATATCTTCAGACTAGTACTAAAACATTTTCTTAATTCTGTCTGGAAATTTATAAAATAGCCCAGACACAGACTTCAGAGGTGGAAAGTAGAAAAAACAAATTGCTTTTGTAGAGAGCTAACCCAACAGTAAACTGTAGGAATACACACTTTCAATAGGGATAATAAAAGCTAGCATTTCCTCAGCCTGCTATGTGTCAAGCTAAACTGGGTAAACTCAGCCTTTTACCTAATCCTTACAATAAGTTCATGATGCAAATACTATCATTATTGCCATTTCACAGATGAGGATTATCAATATTAAAAACATGTCCTAAACTACAGAGGGTAATAACTGATAGATCTGAACTGAGACTTATGTCCTCTTGAGCCTGGTCTAAAATCTTATGCTCTAAGACATAAGTAAAGATTCACAGGCAGCACATCCTTCTGTGTCACCCTGGCCATATTCCCATCTTGGCACTTTTCCATTTTATTATAATTGTTCTTTTATATGTCTACCTACTGAACTCATGGTAGCTCCTCTAGAGCAAAGATGATATCCTATTTATCTTTCTATTTCCAGAGATTTAATACAACAGTATGGGCCACAGTAGAAGCTCAGAAAGTGCCTGTTGAATGACTCACATTGTCTGTACTCGCTAAACATTAATATATTTGAAAAATTGCATTATTACAGAAAACAAGTGATGGCAAAAGGGCCAATTGCCTTTATATCTTTGTTAAGGCATACCTTTCCTTAAAGATGAGAGCTTTCAGAAAGGTAGTAAGCTGATTAATGCTGCCTATAAGAATTTGAGAAATTATGAAACAAATCCCACTGACATGATTGTGATATGAAATAATATGTATGACATTAGGAAAAATCAAGAGAAGAAGGAATTTTGCTTTATGATGGGGTATCTTCTCTAGAGTGAAGTAACCAGTGTTTCATTGATAGTGAGCCCCAAATAAAAGGAATAATTGGGGGATATTCCAAGCCTTAGGTAATTTTTTAAAGCTCTGAATGCTATATATTAAAATATTGTGCAATATAACTTAATAGGGGAAATCAGCTTAGCTTTGGCTTTGAAAGATTAAAATCCTATCAAAGACAAACATTATAAAGAATAGTTCGCCAAGAGGGATTGGAAAAAATTCTAAATGAGTTTGCATGTGTGTCCCCAAGGTGGATAGGACTGCTATAATCACATCTTGCTCAATGGTGTTCTGATTAAGTGTGCTGATAATGTCCATTTTAACCTGGATATTTAAATGTTCTCTCAAAATTTACAGCCAACAAAAGTCCTCTATTCTTGCTTTCTAAGCATGATTCTGCCATTTGTCCCTCCTCTAAAGGATGCCTAGAGTTTGAATTCTGCTACCCACCGCCTTCCCCCTCCCCCAGCAATCTTGACTACTCAAAGGCTAGAATGAGCAAGAGCACACTGCAAAATGATGTGTCTGCTTTGCTGGCACTGGCATCTCCAGTCTCCTCAGCCTTGTGGAAGACTTGTGCAAACCTTCTCCCTACCTGGAATCGTGTCTGTCTATAAAAAAAAAATCTTCCAAACTGAAGAAAACACATAAAGAAGAAGTTACCTCACCCAGCACATGGAGTTGCTTTTGTTTATTTTTTTTCTTAGTGTCAGCTAAGATGGATCCATCTCCAGAGTGCACTACAGTCCACAATCCTCAGTTTTGAATTAGTTCTGAAATAATTCTGAAACATCAATTAGACTAAAATGAATGTTAATGCCCTATTTTAGTTAGATGTTTGGGGATACTAACTTTGTTTTTATTTTGAGACTCTTCTGGACTGCTCAAGACTATTCTTACCACTGGGAGATCCATTCTCAAAGCATCCATGATGGCTGTGTTGTGATGGTCCGTAGGAACAGAGCCCATCTCACTGCAGAATGAGTTTCTTGAGAGCAGCACTGTGTGGAGTAACTTTGCCTTTCTGGTTTAGTACAGTGTGCACAAAACACAGTCATAGTCAATATTTTTGGATGGCTTTTTTCTGAAATGGCACCTTTTTCTTTGCCTCTCACTTGTTCATCTCTTGCTTTCTTCAGGTCCTCTCCATCTGCCCAAAGGACATGAGAGCCGATATCTGTGTTCATCTAAACCGGAAGGTTTTTAATGAACATCCTGCTTTTCGATTGGCCAGCGATGGGTGTCTGCGTGCCTTGGCAGTAGAGTTCCAAACCATTCACTGCGCTCCAGGGGACCTCATTTACCACGCTGGAGAAAGTGTGGATGCCCTCTGCTTTGTGGTGTCGGGATCCTTGGAAGTCATCCAGGATGACGAGGTGGTGGCTATTTTAGGTACTGTGAACTTTCCTAATGTAGTAGCAAATGTGTAATAGTTTCAGAGGTTTTGCTTCTAGGGTTTCTAGACAGAAATTTCCTTTGTTTGGTGACTTTAGAAACCGGGTCACTAATGAGATGATGAATCTTAGTGAAAACTTGTAATGCTGTTTCAGCAAAGAACATTAATATCAGTCACAGTCTAACTGGGCAGTGAGTGGGTCTGATTAAACTTTGGCAATGATATAACAGATTCTTTGGAATAAGGCTGCTTACAGCCTAAGGTGCTTTGTACTCCCATGTTGGGAAGTGTGAATTGGCCTTTGGAATATGATTGTCAGGTTAGTAATTCAGGGAATTAGTCTCAGAGGGCAAATACAACATATCTAGTCCAACCCTTTCCTTTAGAGAAGAGCCCAGGGAGGCCAAGAAAGTGTAATAACTTGCCCCATTAGTAAGTAACTGAGTTAGGGCTTGAGCATAGTTCATCTTACTCACATTATTCTCCTTCCACACACTGACCTTCAGGAGTAAGATGAAGGTGCTGAGAAGGTTAATGAGTCTCATATGAATGAGTGAGCACAATGTAAGTAAACTAAATTTGGATTTAGAAAGTTGGTGCCATTCATCAATCTTCAGAAGCCAGGAAAATTATTTTGCTCATTATAAATTTATTCTGAACTTCAGAGACCAGTAGATAGCTGCACTAATAACACTATTATAATGGTAGTGATGGGTACATGTAGGTGACAAGTTAAAATTTTACATATTTGGATGTAGTGTGATATATACATCCTGGTTAAGAAAATTGCCAAATGAATTTTTAGATCACTTGTTCAAATGTTTTCAGAAGGTTCAAGAGATCCACATGAATATAACAAGAAGGAGTAATGAGGTCAGAGGAGAATCAGCCTTGGTTTTTTTCTGGGATAAAATAAGTTGGAATTGCAGGATGTCAACTCTATTTTGATCACATTCTTCATGGCTTGTATCTCATGAAAAATGAACTTAGCCTTTAAGCTATTTGATTTTTAGCTACTGAGGTCAACTTACCATAGCCTGAATGCTACTCATTCCCATAAGGAAAAGATTGATGGATTTTAGAACCTGCAAAAGCAAAACTGAAAACTGATATCAAATCCAACATGAAAATAAAAACTGATGTTAAAAGGATAAGTATTTGAAAAAGGCAGGATTCAGAACCAAGAAGAAATGACCTTTTATGGAAAAACAGTCTCTGTAAAGATTGTGGGTGATAGAAAATTGCAAATGGCTGAACAGCCATTGCTTGTAAATTTTTCCTTACTTGTTTATAAATAGTACTATAGGAAAAGTTAGATTTCTTCTAGGAATTGGTTTTTAAACTATTTTTGCAAGGAAAGGATATAGTGCGTTAGAATCAGCACTCGGGTCGTACTTAATGCTACCTGGTGCTTGCTTTGCTTGTTTACTCAAGTATAAAGAAGGTACAGATAATCCTTCATAAAAACTGTGCCTGCCACCAGAACAGTCTTTTGTGGTAAAATGAACCATATCAGTGCTCTGACCCTAGTGTTTGCTTAAAGAGGAAACTAAAACACTAGCCCTAAATCAATGTTTTCTTTTCCTGAATGGTCCCTCAATAGGAGGGGGGTGAGGAGTCATCAAATACATCATATGAAAGTGAGCATTGTCATGATAAATTACCTCAGCTGTGGACTCATGGTCATTTGTTTTGCTCCATTTTCTTCATGACAGCTGCACCTTGGTAACTCCTTTTCTAAAAGAAGGGTAGAGAAAGCCCTGAGTTTAGTGCCTCTGGGCTGGGTCTGTCAAAATGGAATCCTTTGCTCAGTGAAACATATAAAATGCATTTTCCTTTTGTTTGAAAATAAAATGATAACTGGTTTTTGTTTAATGACACAGTGAAAAATGAACACAGTGCTCCTGGGTTAGAATCAGTCTCATCATATATCTGTCACATTTTATTTCTTTGAGTGTGAGCTTTTTGTTCTTCCGTAAAAATCATGGAAGTCAGAGACTTTTCATATCTTGGGTTAATGAGTCAAATTATATGATACCTCTCTGGCAACCTTTCTTTTTTCTTTGGGCCTCTAAGAAATATTAGTTAAACCAAGAGGCAATTAGAGTATATTTCATTCTTTTCTTTTCTTAGTGTTCAATATTTTAAGAAAGGAGGAAGAAAATACTACCTTACCAGCATCATACTTGACATTTTGATTACTGCCCCATCCTTTTTCATGCCTGTTTTTCTTCCTCTTATTATTTTTGGTAGCTTAATTTTGAAAGAATTGCAAACTGAAAGAAAAGTTACAAAATCATCAGAATATAAACTGAAATTCCTTCCTTCCTCCCTCCCTCCCTCCCTCCCCCCTCCCTTCCTTCCTTCCTTCTTTCCATCTATCCTTCCTTCCTTCTTTCTTTTCTCCTCCTCCACTCCCCCTTTCTTCTTTATTCTTCTCTTCCTTCTCCCTTCTTTTTCTTTGGTTCTCCTTAATAAGATTTTCTATAACTTAGGGGCTTTGCTGTCTCTTACACTGATTCATTTGCAAGTTGAAAGGTAGAAGAGGGAAGTCATTTTTAAAATTAATTAGAATCTCTGGATCTAAAAACAGGTGCAGTTTTATTCTTTTGGATCCTTGTCTCCGTACAGTCTCTTGGGAGCACATAATTCTTTAGTGTGTCAAAAGTGCTAAGGAGTTTAATGAATAAGTTCTGAAGCATAACTAATTAACGGAAAGCTAAAAATGCAGTCAACAAATACCTCCTTTTTTAACACTGGAGGATGACTTCAAGATGTTTTCTAAATACAGCATATGAATATAATTGTAGTTCGTGTCTTTTTCCAACTTGAAGTTCTTTCAGATTTTACACCTCCACCTTTTTTTGACCTTCCCACTTTGTATGAAACACAAAGAATTCCAAATTAAGTTCATGATGCATACATAATATTTTATATTCACTAATGTCTTCTTACTTTTTAGTTCCTCCTCTATAATTACTTAATGTGAGCAGATTTATTGGTATGGTTGAAATAGCCATGTTACTTCTAAATGCCTTGACAAGTACATTGTACCTTTCAGGGATTATAAAAATAGTACTTCCCCACTCACAATAGACCCAACTCCTAAGACAATTGTTTTGTTGTATTCATATTTCTTCTTTTCTCTTCTGTCTTTATTGATTGTTAGAATCATATGGTTACTTTCTTAAACTAAGACAGTATCTATCTTAAGCCTTGTAATTTTAACTTCAAATTCCCAAGAAAACTATGACTGTTTTTGTAGGGTTTGGATGGAGGTATTAAATATTATTATTGGTGTGGGAGAAGGAGACATAATAGAGGAAAGGAAAGACAGAAATAAAAAGAATTTAGTAATATAAGATAGTTTCAGCAGATTATGATTGATTGAATCCCTTTTGATTAGAATCGATTATTTAAACTCATCTCTTGTAAACATTTGTGCATTATCAGAAAAAAACATAAATTATAGTTCACAAAATTCAAAATCATCTTCTTATTTTTATTCTAAAAGGAAAAAATATCTGACATGTGAATGAATAATATTGTGCTATTTTGAGAACTTGTGAAAATGTGACTTTTATGTTGTGATTAAGATTGTTTTCCTTGGATACTTACTGCTATTAGAAGTTGAGTGCTTCACGCATTAAATCGTTTAAAGGGCTTTTCCCAAGTTCCAGGAAATTATTTCCCTTTTTTGTCCATATATCTGTGTTTTTAGTTGGTAAGTTGCGAAACTACAGATTTGTCCTGTGTGCTATCAAGATAAGCTTTGTTAATTCGGGTATTTATGAGGTGCAGTCCAGTTGTTTGCTTTTTTTTTTCTTTAAGCACATGTTTGCCTTGTTTTAAATGTTGTCACTTTAAACATTTCAGCCTTGTTTATAGCACATTTATCTATGGTTCTTCAGCCTGCAGATATTTTTGATAATATGCAAGTATTTAAGTCCTAGTATAATTCAAACCCTTTCCCCATCACCCTTCATAACTACATCTTGTTTATTGTGTCCTTTTGGTACCTTTGTTGTTGTTGTTTTGACAGCACTGGGATTTGAACTCAGGACCTCATGCTTGCCAAGCAGGTGCTGTACTACTTGAGCTATGCCTCCAGTCCTATTTTGCTTTAGTTATTTTTGGATAAGTTCTCACAATTTTTTCCTAGAACTGGCTTCAGACAGCCATCCTCCTACCTGTGCTTCCTATGTTGCTGGAATTATAGGTATGTCACCACACCTGGCTTGTTAGTTGAAATGGGGGTCTTGCTTGCTTTTTCTCTAGGCTGAACTGTAATACTCTCAATCTCTTACCTCCTTAGTAGCTGGGATTACAGGTGAGAGCCACTGCAGGGGGCCTCTTGGTTGCTCTTCATCCTGTCTTTAATATCACTTACCATTGCTACTGCTCTTAAAATTTTGATCCTAAGCAGTGACTGCCATCTAAAAGTCCTCTCCACCTGCAGCCTGACTTTAGCCTTGACCTCTAGTTCCCTCTAATGTTGCCACCACAATAATCAATCTAAGATACCATGTCAGTCTCTTATTAGGATTCCTCCATAGCTTTCTAGAGCCTTGCTGATAAAAGGTGACTCAGCTTGGCCCATGAGACCATTCAGGCTCTGGTCTCTGCCTTTCTTGCCATTCCCTGTTCCTACCCTATTCTCACCTTATGGTTGCTGGAAGCTCCCTCAATTCTATTGAGTTCTTTCTTACTGCTTTTTCATATACTGTTCCCCTTGTTTCAAATACTTGATCTCTTCTTTACAGAGGTCTGTCACTTGCATCCTCAGCCTCTCTCAGTCTTTCTTCATTGTCCTAGTCTGGATTTAGGTGCTGCTGTACTGGGCTTCCAGTGTGTGTGCCCATGCAGGGTTCTTAGTGCCTCTTATTTTTACCTCCTGCCCTGTGAGCACGTGAGATGTCTTACTCACTTTTGCCTGTTATCTGTGGTGGTACCCCTGAAATAGGTTCTCAGTAAAGTTGTGTTCACACAGTCAAGT